TTTTTTTTTTTTTTTTCATTCTAGTACCGACGATAACTATACTTATACTAATTAAAAATCAGTCATATTTTTTAATTTCAGATTAGAGGGAGAGATCAATCTACTTCCACCAGTCAGGTCCATTTTTTTTTGAGAGGGGGACTTCAGCGCCATTTTTCTAATTTAAAAAAAAATTTTTTTTGGTTTTGATTTTCATTTTTGTGTAGTTGATAAGTATTAGAATAAGTGTACAAAAAATTTGAAAGCATTAGTCATTACCTTCACATAGAAATAAAATTTTTAAAAATAGCTTAAATTTTAGGCTGCTAGACCACCGGGTCCCCTTAAAAAGTTATGATTTAAATATTTAAAACCACTGATGAGGATTAAAGTTTTTGGTCTCGTACTTTGCAAATGATATTACTCTGGTATTAATGAAGGTATTTATTTATCAAGTCAATGCTTTTACAGGCAAACATGGCTTTTCTCGTCAATCACTTTTTCGCGAAGAAAAAAATTTTTTATGTAAGTAGTAATTATTAATTCGTTTTAAATATTTAAAAAACATTTTTTTCGATTTTTTTTTTTGTAAAATAAACTGTCATGATTAAAAAAAAAATTTTTGGTTAATTTCAATCCTGATGCGTTAAATGTTCAGATCATAGAAAAAATTTCCAAATTAACGATTATGAATACAACTTTCGAATAACAACCTGGAAATCATTTCTAATTTTTCAATTCTACTTAATTATGTGACAATGAGAATAAAAATGATTTACTGTGCATAGCAAAAATGAAAATTATGAAAAATTGACTCTTTACATTTCACTTTTGATGTTTGTTTAAATCTTCCCGCGACTTGGAACTATCGTGCAAGTTAAACGCCTTTACGTGTTACAAAAGGTCAATTACAGTTGAAACAAGTGCATGCACACATAAACTTTATGCGGAACTTTACATCTAAAAAATATAAAATATGGCTACCTTATAAGTAAAAATTGTGAGAAAATTATAGTAGAAATTTTTTATTTGCAATTAAATAAATAATAATTGAACATTAATTTTCAAACTGACCCTTCGCGTTGAATTTCCAAACCGAATAAAAAATAAATCAAGTTAATTGATTTTGTTTTTTGAGAGCTATACTGTTAACATTACCGTATGTGTGTCGAAAATTTCGTGAAATTCTTTTTTAATAAATTTTTTATATGATATTGTAAATCAATTATTTTTAAAATAAATGAAATTTATTTATTAAAATTTTATCTTTGTTTCGGTTTGCATTATTTCACTATTAAACTGTATATTTAATCACTATTAAACTGTATAATTAATTGATAATTAATAATTTTTTTGAATTGTAACGTACCTGACCCATCATGCCCATGAACGCCCAAATTTTGAAAGTTTTTAACGGCACGCTGACAAGGTACTCATGGAAGAATGCACTTATGAAGAATACAGTCACGCTAGCTGTCTTTTTACTGTAACCCATTTCAACCACTGGAATATATAAATGTCTGAAACGCAAAAAATCAAATATAAGCATATCTATTTATCGAACCATTATGGATAAGATTTGTTCAGCACGTTAGAAAAGTTTTCAGACATTAATTTATAAATATTGATTAGACTGTGAAACGACACTCAATGACTCAATTTTAGTGTCGTTCGATTAAATTTTACTGTAAAATAAAGTCAATTGAATGTTTATTATAGATTAATAAAACCTCAACGGAAGTAATTTTCAAAAATTAATTAATTTGCTGTATTATCAAGTACATCGAATTAAAGAAAAATTAGAAAAACGGTCGACCCTGAAGGCCATCCCTGCAACTTCCCGCTAATTCCATACCTAGGCACTTAAAATTGCACTTATGACGTTTTTGAGCTCTTCGAGCTCAAAAATACAATTTATGTGTTATTTTGAGTTCTCCGAGCTCAAACATATAGCTTTCCTATGCTTTTGAATTCTTCAAGCTCAAAAATCTTATCAAAGTTCGCTGAAACACGATATTTTTAATTTTCAAACTGCTGAAACTTTTGAATTAATCAACCGATTTTCACACGGTTGGCGGCGATCGATGTAGTTTTTTGAACTCTATAAAAAATTTAGAACAAAAAAAAATTGATCCGATGAAAAATTTCGGAGTTATTACAAAAAAAAACACTTTTTTTTATTTTTGTCGACAACGATATCTTACGAACAAATCAACCGATTCTGGCGCTCTAGGTGGCGATCGATGCGGGTTTTCAAGGTTGAGAGCTGATTAGTTTTTGAGATCGATCGGTTCAGCCAATTCGGAGATATTTAAAAAAAATGAAAAAAAAAAACAAGTTTTTTTTCACTTTTTTTGCAATTTCTCGAATTCTACTGGTCCGAATCGGTTCCAACTTACAAAAAATCTAAGTTTGGCGAAGACCTTTCGAATAACACCAACTGTGATCAAATCGGTTAAGCCGTTCAGAAGTTTTAAGAGGTTTACACACACACACACACACACACACACACACACACACACACACACACACACACACACACACACACTTTTAGCGGGAAGTTAAAAATGAACCTCTTATTGACGGAAAAAAGAACAAAAATAATAAAAAATAGTAAATGTGCGTCTTAAACACTTGTATGAAAAATTAAATAAATAGTGACGTGATTAATTTCAAATATTTTGCGGCTGGTCAGTCATATGATAAAGAAGAGGTGCATGTCCTAAAAATATAAATCAGCTGATTAATAATGACTATAAGTAACCAGAGACTAAACTTTATAATACATAGACAGAGAAACAAAAAAAACCACAATATTTTAGTTTTTTATTAATTATAATTGATCGACACCGAATTAAGGAACAATTTTCAATAGGTTTTCACTCAGGGCCTTTCTGAAGCTAATTAAAAAAAAAAATAGTGTCAATTCATTGAATAGTTTAGCATCTAAAGTATTTACAAGAATAATTCATACGCACATACTAATTGAAACCCATTATGATCCCTTTTTAAATAGTTTTTTTTGTGATAACGAAATAAATTACTTTTTGAACCATCGAATTTATTTATTTATACTTCGTGTTTTTTTTATATTTATACATTTTTATCACCCTTCGATTGCAATGTGAATATAATCGCGGCGATTGAAATTATGAGCCAAAATATTATGAGGCGTGCAATAATAATTTACGCGATAAAGCCGCAAAGGGAAAATTTTATCGACATACGGAGAAAAAATAGTAAAAAATAATTATTAGATTATTTTAATGCACGTGAACCCAAATGCGAATAACTTTAGTTTAACTTAATATTATTAATGTTATTAATATTATTATTAATATATAATAATTATAATGAACTGCCAACCGTACGGAGAAAACTCTTTACAGTTGGTAGACTGTTTATTTTTATATCCGTGTGTCTGCGCGAGTCTGCTCGTTGTGTGAGTATTTGTTTAACGTGTGTGAGTGTGGCCCCCTCACAGTACACGGAAAGAAAATTGAAGGAATTTTTACTATTTTACTATCGAAATTTTTACTAAATAAAATAGTAACGGTGGACTATACTTCTCATTGAGTAATTTTTACGATCTACTATTGTAAATTTATCCAACAAACAAGACTAGAATAAGACTTAAAAGTCTAATATTATAGAGCCAATTATACAATGCGTGTTTGTGAATTTTACAATTCAACTATTGGCTAGGTGCACGATGATGCTGCCCTCATTTTTCATGCTTTTCCTATGTTAAATCGACCAGAGTAATTTAGTTCCAGTGGCCGTTATTAGCGTTAAATCATGCTCTTCCCATAAGATTTACACGTAAAAGTGGTAGTCAGCGTCAGCCCTCCCCACCATATACTTCGCACCCTGCCAATAGTAAAAATTCACAGTTGGTTTTTTTAAAAGAAATTTTAGGGAGGGAGAGAGATAGAAGGTTGGACTAATTGGTACCTGTACAGTAACCGAAAAGTGAAATCGAAATTTTCGTCCTATCCGGGAATCGAACCCAGAACTCTTTGTTGGCAGCCAGAGACTCTCCCTCTACGCTATCCAAGTTAAACTATTGTAAAATTTGCTATACTTCTATTGAAAAGATACAGAGGCAGCACTGGAAATTTTAATCTCTTACTTTTTACAATAGTAATGTCGTATTTTTTCATGAATAAATAATAATTTTTCTTCTAAAATATTTGACAAACAATTAATAGTAATGGAAGTATAGTCCAGCTTTACAATAGTTGTATCGTAAATTTTCCCAGAAATTTTTTTCCGTGTACCTTTGCGAACGCCACCAAGTGCTCGAAAAGTGAACTTACAGAGCGAGTATGACGAAAAAAATATTATGAGATTAAAATATGACGAGTTTGTTACTGAAGATACGCAAAACAGAAAATCGAGAATAATTTATGACTGTAAAAAACTAAATAATAACAAAATGAGGTTCTTAGGTTAAAAAGGAGTAACATCTCTCGGATTCTTTTTTATGATCTCTAAGAAATATTTCTCAGCTTTTTATTTCATTCATATTTTTCTATCTTTCATCTATTTAAACTATTTCAGTCTTTCATTTTATAGTAGAGTTTCATTGCGATGCAGAACAGAGACATTATAAGTAAGATCTGAGAGTACTATGAGCAGTTTTGAGTGTAAAGCGTTGCGATGTGTATCGTCTTTTTCCATTACAAACCATCTCGTAAGAAGAGGCTCTAACATTCTGTAAAGACTAACCTCAACTTTCTCGTTTAACCTAAGAAGACTTTATTTTTATGTATTTATTCTTTTTTTTTAATTTAATTTTTATTTTTATACTACTATCTCTTCCCTTCTATTTTTTTTATTCTCATAGAATAGACTTCCATGGACTTGTGCCAGTCGCAGACTGAGATTCTCAACGAGTGATAAAAGACGCTTAAGAGGTTTTAGTGTGAATGGAACGAGTTCTGAATACATACGCGTTCGAATATAATATTATATTTCTAAATTATTTTTTATCTGTAGTTTCCATTTTTTAATTTTTGCTATCAGCAAATCGATTTTTTTAGTATCTTTAAAAAAACCCTTAATTCAATTTGGTAAAAACATCAAATTCGAACAACATTTTTGGTACTTAGAGTAATACAGATAAAATAAATAGAAGATAAATTTTTTTTTATGTAACTACCGATAAATTTGAATATGTTTGACCTTAAGAAATTTTATGGAATTTATTTAACTTTGTAATGGCAAGAGGCCAAGTAAAAATATAAACACGTTTGATGGCGAGTACTTTGTTGTTTGAAGACCGGAAAAACTGGGAATACTAAATAACTACCAGTAAAATAAACATTTATTTATTTTTTATTTTTTATCATATAATCAAGAAAATAATAAAAATTTTTGTGTCCGGTCTATTTATTTGGTAAAATAGATTTTCACAGTTAAAATTAGTATCGTTGAAAAGATCTAGTCCTGAATTTATGCCTTTTTAAGGTTTTGATCATTAATTATTTATTTATTTATTTAATTTGAATGCCAAGGCAATGGCCGAATGGCAAAAATACAAAAATATAAGAATATAAAGTACATGTAAGAGTATAAAAATATCTAAATAAATATTATAACAGTATTTAGATTTCGCTAACAGAATAATGAAAAATGAAAACAGTCAAAAAAAAAAAAAAAAAAAAGAAAATTTAAGAAATGTCATCAGTTATTTACAAATCTAAAGCTAAAGCACTCCAAATTTTAACGATTTTAATTATCTTCGGTGAAGCCGGGAATCAAGTTCTCCTTAAGCTCAAGATCATGGAAGAATTGATAAGCTTTTGTCTTGAAAGTGTCTATGCTAAGTGCATTGATGACGTCAGGTGGCAATTCTCTCCAGAGGCGTATCGATGAGATCAAGAATGAATGTTCGTAGGAGATAGTTGAGAAATTAGGAATTTTAAATGTGATATTGTTCTGTCTGGCAGCCACTCTCTCAGAACGTCTAACATCTGGTGACTCTTCAACAAACATGCTTCTGAGGAATTTAGGTTCACCAGAGTTAAAAAGTTTGTACAGAAAACAAGCCAAGAAATAGTAACGCTTCGATTTGACTGTGAGCCATTGTAACGAGCGTCTGTGAGGTGTTATATGCTCATCACGTTTCAGGTTAAAAATGAATCTTATGCCGTTATTTACCAAGCGTTGCAACTTGTAATCCAGGCTTTTGGATACATCCATCAAGACCAAAGAGCAGTAGTCAATAATTGGAATAACCATTGCAGCGACCAGCAATTTCCGGGTTGAGGTAGATAGTATATTCTTCCTATATTTTAGATTATTTAGAGTACCATAGACTTTTCGAGAGATTTGTGAAACATGAAGATCCCAAGAAAGATATGCTGATAAATAAACACCCAAATGTTTAGTTGAGCTAACATATGGGATAACGTTTCCATCTACAATTATTTCAGGAAGATCAAAACCCTTAAGTAGCTTCAATTTCCTACTACTCCCTAGAATCATCACTTTAGTTTTCCCAAGGTTGAGTTCGAGACCCACTTCCTTTGCCCAATCAGCTACTGCTTGAGCATCCGAATTAATCCGAATTAATCCGAACGTAAATAATAAAAATAATAAATTATTGACATAGCCACGTTTAATTGTATAAAATTGATTACATTGAGAACCGTTCTCAATTTTTTCGGTATTTGTACTCATTCAGAGACAATGTACTATTTTTGTTGTACTTGTACGATAAATAGAAACTTAAAAATAAAATTTCAAATTAAAAAAAAAAAAACGCTCTACATAGAAATTAGAAAATAGAAAAATTAAATCAATCGGGGCACAACTACTGTGACAGTCTAAAAAAAGGCCATTTTTGGAAAACTAAAATAAAAAAAAACTCCTGTATGAATTGTTTTAAAATTTTAAGGGTATATTAATACATACTTTAAGAATATACAGTAAAATTTTTGAAGAAAAAATTAAATATTTTCTGAGTTACACGCGATTTCCGACGGTGCTAAAAAAAAAAAGGTCCTCCACTGCAGCAGTGATTTCGGCCTTCTCCATGAATGAAACATAAATAAAAAACAAATTCTCGTTCAACAAGAAGATATTGTTCGTACAATGACCCTCGGTCGAAAAAAATATCAAAAATTGACAAAATGGCGGTGTTTTAAAAAAAAAAAGTTGAATTTTACCCAAAATTTTGGTCGTTTTTGGCCTGCCAAAATTCGGTTTTTGATCAGATCAAAAAACTGAAGGGTCATCGTATGAAGAACTAGGGTAGAAGTACAGTTTGTGGCCAGTGTACCTTTTTTGGCCACTTTATTTTCAAATTATTGTATAAATATTTCTATAAGCGCAAGACTTTATGAATTCAATTCGAATAAATTTACTAATTCATATATTCTATAAGAAATCTACTTGAATAGTTGAATTTTTTACAAATTAACTAAAATGTCAAGTTGCCTAAAATGGTTCTAAGATGGCCAAAACCGGTACTTCTACCCTATATACAGAACATGTAGAAAAAAATTTGATAGTGATCAAATCCTTTGTCATTAAAAATTTTAATATGTTATTTTTTAGGGTATAACCTATCGAAATATGGAAAAAAATCGATTTTTTGAAAATTTCACACTATACACGGAAAGAAAAATATGGGAACTATTCCCATAATTTTATGGGAACAGTTCCCAGGCAATTATAGGAACTGTTCCCATGAATTATGGGAACCGTTTCCATAATTATAGGAAATTTTCCTAGAATTATGGAAACATTTCCCATAACGATGGGAATGGTTCCCATAATGGTATAGGAATGGTTTCTATAATCATAGGAATGATTCCTATACAATTATTGGAACCATTCCCATACACTGAAAAAAAAAATTCTTGACTGAAGTGTAAATTTTCTTGGCTCAAGAAAATATTAAGGAAGGTTGAAAATTTCTTGAATGAAGTTAAAGTTTCTTGAGTCAAGAAAATTTTCTTGAGCCAAGAAAATTTTTTCTTGCTCCAAAATAATTGTCGTTTTCCTTAAAATTTTCTTGGCCCAAGAAATTTGTTTTTTGTCTGTAATATTATGGGAAATATTCCCATAATGATATAGTAATCATTCCTATATGATTATAGGAACTATTCCTATAATGGTATGGGAAGGATTCCTAGAATATTATAGGAATCATTCCTATACCGTTATGCGAATCATTCTCAAAATAAAATAAAAATAAAATATTCGTGCGGAGTGAGTTTGAAATGATTCCTATAATATATACTCGGAAAAAAAAATTGGAGCTGCTACATGATACATTCCTGTGGCAACCACATGATTTTCATGTTGCAGCTACATAATTTTTATGTAGTAGGCAATAATAGTTAAAACAACAATAATAATTTAATAATAATAATCATAATAATAATAATAATAATAATAATAATAATAATAATAATAATAAATCTATATTATTAAGAGAATAAGAAAAATTTTGTGGCCAGTGTATTTATATGATAAAATGGGTTTTTGCTTGGAGTTGTGCCTTTTTAAGGTTTCATATCATTTTCACCAATAGTCAATTTATTATAATAAGAATTTAGGCTGCATTCGAAAATGCTCTGTGTCTAGATACATAATGAAGAAATGACCTTGTATCTGGTAAACTACTGACATTTTTGAAGATATATGCTCATCCCGATGTTACACTCATCAAGAGCTTTCATTTGAATACCCACATGCATTTTGATATATTTTTCATATATACATATGTATAATATATATAAATATATAAAATAGATGAAAAATTGATGTTGGTACTCAAATGAAAGGTCTCGATGAGTGTAATGTTGGGATGAGCTTATATCTTTAAAAATGTCAATATTTCACAAGATACAAGGTTATATGGCACAAAGGCACAAATTCAAGTCAAGTCGTCCTTTGCAATGACACTAAATTTCACTAAAAAAATCGATTTCATCATGTGACTATCCAGGAGACAAAATTGTTCTTATTTTCTTAATAATATAAATTATTATTATTATTTAATTATTATTGACGGTGTTTTAACTATTATTGCCTACCACATGAAAATCATGTTCTTGTCATATGAAAGTCGTGTATCTTCCACAGGAATGTATCATGTGGCAGCCCTAATTTTTTTTTTCCGTGTAGGATTTAAACCTATATATTGTGGGAACCATTCCTATGCTATTATGGGAATGGTTCCCATAAATTGTGGAAACCACTCCTATAATAGTATAGGAACGACTCCTATAGCATGATGGGAACCATTCCCATAATATTATAGAAATCGTTCCCATAATGATACAGGAATAGTTTCTATAATAGTATAGGAATTATTCCTATAGCATTATGGGAACCATTCTCATAATGGTATAGGAATAGTTCCATAATTTTATTTCCGTGTAGTTGTGCCCTTTAAAAATTATCCACTCCGCAAGTTTTTATAATAAATTAGGCAATATTATGAACAAATTGTATTCATCTGTAGATGCAATAATTTCCCCAACCAAACTTTGCCTGAAAAAAATTAACGAGATAATAATCACTTGTAAAACCCCAGCCACAAAACAAGAAAACGAGTATATCCCTTTGCACAGAAACACGTACTCGAGAAACGCTACTGTGGGTAGTTAATACGGTAACCAAAAAAATGAATTAATTTTCCCTTTGGTAGCTTGGGAAAACCTGTGATAGAATTAAGTGAATAAGAATTTCGATCAAACATTTAACGATGTGAAATGTCTACATCTTTTTATCTTCATACATGTAGAACGCTCAGTCTACGCTGTCTTTCTGGTTTTCTCTGGCATTCCCTACCCCGAATGAAGGAGGGGCGTCTTTGTAGGAAGCTTCATCACTGTAGAGATTACATCCGAGATCCTCGGAATGAGAAAATGAGGTTGAGACAGAAGATTGTGAAGAGGAGCTTCCGTGTTCTCCAAATATAACTGTATGGATATCACATCCACTAACTTACACTGATATCGTGAACGTATGTATAAGTGTATGCATGTGTGAAATATATTACTGCTGAAACTATTGCAAGTACGACTTAACTGACTTTAGGGAACACAATAGGAATATCGAATGAGGATAAAGGAAATTGAATGGCGAGTACACTTGTGCTGGTGCTCAAGGTAAATTTAAAACGATTGTTATCAGTGTGTACCTATAGTATAAGGTACTTAACTCACCTTACAGCCCATCGATGAACCGCTAGGTTCCATGTGCGCCAGAATGTGTCAATGTTATTAGCATTCCACCAGTCGCCGTAGAAGTTGCGATCGGCAAAGTGCAGTAATTCTCCCATTAGGTTTAAGTAAGAGTGGAAGAACAGGTAGAAGAAACACAGCCACATTAAGTGATTTGGGATCTGTAAAATAAAAAATTTACATGTCATTAAGTTAATAACACTTTCTAATATAGACACGCACTGAAAAAATTTTCTAAACCAGTGACTCGATTTTCGAGCTTGAAGTTGCATTTTGAGCTTGACGAGCTACAAATGGTATAATAGAAATGTTTTTGACCGCTTTGAACTTATAACAGGAAGTTCCAGAAACAGCCTGTAGAGTGAACCAAATCCAGGATTTTTCAATTTTTACAATTATAAAAAAATTAGGAAAACGGTTGACCCTGAAGGCCATCCCTGCAACTTCCCGCTCATTCAATACTTATATTAGGCGCTTAAAATTGCACCTATGACGTTTTTGAGCTCTTCGATCAAAAGTCTGATAGAAGTTTGATAAAACACTATTTTTTGAATTTTCAAACTGCAATAACTTTTGAATGCATAAACCGATTTTCACGCAGTTGGCGACATTCGACGCAGTTTTTTAAGCCTCATAAAAAATTTTCAACTTTAAATTAATCGAGCTAGGAATTTCGGAATGATTCCGAAAAAACACTTTTTTCGCTTTTCTTTCGTTCACGATATCTCTCGAACGAATCAACCGATTTTGACCGAACCGGTAGTGATTGACGTGGTTTTTTGAGGTTAAGAGCTGATTCGTTTTTGAAATTGATCGATAGAGCCATTTAAAAGTTATAGCAAAAAAACAACTTTTAAAAAAGATTTTTTTCTTAGTTTTTTTGAGATTTTTACAAATTTCTCAACATCTATCGTTCCGAATCGATTCAAATTCACAGGAAATCTAAGTTTCACCAACCCTTTACACATACATACACACACACACACATACATACATACATACAGACATAGTGATAAAATCGCGGGGGTAATCAGGGAAGCTTCCTGTCACCTTAAAACGTCGAGATCTGATGAAAACTCGATTTTTGCAAAACGGGGTAAATCTAATAACTTCTCGATTTTGGAAATGTTCAATTTTTTAGCGGGAAGTTAAAAATTGTAAATTATAATTTTAATGACAATTTTGGATAAAAGCTTCTCAGAATTTTACAACTGTTCTTAGCAACAAAATCGATTCGTTATTACAACAAAATCACTTTGTTATAGCAAAGAAAAAATGATTTTGTTACTACAACATAGTTGCCAATTATCTCGTCTCTTATTATTTCAATAAAATCGTTTTTATAAGTATAGTTTTTATATGTATTGAAAAAATTGAACTATTAAATAACTATAGATCATGCACTGTACAAGACTTTCAAATGTTCTATTTAAAAAAAGCCCGCTTTGTTTTAGTGACGTCAGATAACACTGCCGCCATCTCTTGAAATCCTTTAAAAACAGGTATTACTAACTGCATTAACTTGTTACACAAATCTATTTCTCTAAAAATATTACACACGACTGCCTGAGAAATGGAATTTTTTATTGTAAGTTCTGTTCTAAATATATGAATTACAAAAAAATAAAGAGAGTTGAAAAAATTCACTAAAGAATAAATAAAAAATGTTGTATAATAATTTAAAAATATATTGATTAAACGATTCAAAAAATCGTAGTAGTTCACTAATCACACTTTTTTGAATAGAAAAAAATACAAACGATAAAAAAACTTTTCTGATATTTTCTGCATCAAAAAACTTCCGTTTAATTTAAAAGGCTGACTTTTCACGGTGATTAGAAGAAACGGAAGAAAGTATCAGAGGGTCCCTTTTATAAGAAAAAAATGTCCAGTTGTGGATAGGAATAAAAGAGTAAACAGAGAAATGGTATAGTTATAAATAATTCGATGAAAATAAACAGGGAGGTCGAGTGGTTCAGAAGAATTTAGAGGAGCTTTGGGCAGTTTGCGGACGTCAAAGGACACTCTGGGGTGTATTTCACATGACTCAGAGCTGTGTGGCTTTGTGGCTATCTGTGACGCGTCGCAAACAACCCTCAGCTACCGCTACAAGTATCTGGTCTGATGTCGGTACGATGAAAGTCATCGGTCACTGGGGTAAAAAGAAGAAATAAGATACCGGATGAAAAGGTTCTTTAGATAGTTGTGAAGAAAATACAATAAACGACAAAGGAAATTAAAAGCGCCCAACCAGTATCAAAGGCTTTAACTGTAATTTAATAAAAAAGAGGTAAAAAATTAGTTCAAAACCGAAGATTTTTCAGAAAAACTTCTTTGAAAAGATATTTATTGGAAAATAATCTTACAAAGAACTTTTGTACATTTAAAAAATTTGCTTTAAAAATTACCGTTAAATTCACGTTCCATGTACTAAAAAAAAAACGATCTTGTTAATTTAAGATATTTGCAGAATTTTTTCCAGACCTTTAAAAGCAGTTACTGAAAATAAATTATTATTTTTTGAAAATGTAACACTAAAAAAAAAACTGTTTCATTAAATTAATTAAAAAAAAAATATTCTTTTCAAAATTTCATTCTTATTTCAAGATATATTAATTTCGAATTAATTCAAGGAATTCCCATATACTTCCTTATAATTTTCAACTCGATAATCCCTTAATGCAATAATTCAGTTTCTTTACTAAAAGAAAACTATATTACCAGTTTTAATTTCAATTTTTCATCACTCTGAATACTAACTTTCAATTTATATTTTTGTTGTCGGTTTATCTCATTCTTATCAGAGACATAAAAAGCATATTGTAGAGGAAACTATGAAATTATTTTTAGGGATTTAGTCGTGAGTCGTAGTTTGTGCCTAAGAAGACCATCTGCGGAAGTTGGCGCAATGTTGTAGATAATTGAATTGGGCAATGATCTTACTCTTTACTGCGATTTTTGGGAACGCAAACGTCAGCAGAATCGTTCAATTTGGTCCGTTAGCGGTTATTGAATTTTAGGATTTTTTTAAGAAGCGGTTTTACTCCATTACTTTAGAATAACTTTTAAATTTTTTTCTTTGAAAGACGATTGTACTGAAAAAAAAAACTACTTGATTTAACAAAAATATACTCTTCAAAATTTTACTCTTGCTTCGAGATATTTAGTTCGAATTGATTTAATAAATTCACCGGCGAATCAAAAAAATAATACTCAAGGATAAGGAGAATAGAGTTTGACATTCAAGAATTTTATGAATTCAATGAAGTAGGGGAGAGGTGCTGCAATTGTATAACAAGGGGCAATTGTAACACTCAATAAAAAACTATTAAAAAAACTAAAAATTATTATTATTCTTTTTTTAACTTCTTCAAAATAGTAATTTATTGATTAGATCAAAGTTTCAGTTATTAATCTTGTTCCGATATCAAAATATTGAGAATTGTTGAAAATACGCGTGGAAACTTTTTTTTGTACACTCCTCAATTTTTTCAATAATAAATTTGTTTTTTAATGTTATAATGTGAGACTTGTATTAATACTTTAAGAGACATATCAAGAGTATTGTAAAATCGAATTTAATATCAATTTACTGATTTTTGTCATTGTAATTAGATTTTTATTAACAGATCATCGTGAGCGTCAATTGTAACACTTGAACGAGTAGCAATTGTAACACTCAGAGTCGTGTATGGAATCTGCGTAAACTGGATACGCCACAAATTTACTCTATAGGATAGTGTAGTTTGTGTAGTTTTGTAAATGTTTAATAATTTATATTAAAGATCCAAATATATGATATACTATAGGTTTAAATACTTGACTTAAGAGTTAATGAAGTATAAGAGACGTATTAAGACTATATAATAAAAGCAATTTGATGAAAAATATCTATTTCGTTCGGTGTTACAATTGCCCCTGCACTGTGTTACAATTGCAATCCATGCGCGCCGTCATCTTGGTCCCTGACTTTAGTTAAATAAATTAATTTTTTAATAAGTTAACATTGACTTTTTACTAATTGACTAAGTCAGTTACATAAAAGATACTTTCAACTAAATTTCTGACAGTTTTTAAGTTTACTATCTTAAAAAAAATAAATGGAATAAAAAAAATAAAAATTTTTGTTACAATTGCAGCACCTTTCCCCTACTTAACTATTTACAATCAAGATAACTTATATTTCACCCAACAATTTCACTTTCGAGGATTAAGATCCGCGGTAACGTTGGTGCAAAATATTATCCACTTGTTTCAAAAATACCAACAATTCTCGGATTTCTGTTATTTTCTATCCCATCGAGAATAAGTCTCAAATGATTTTTACGATGGGTTCAAATAAAAAATTTGATTTTCTTTTTAAATTTTTTTAGTATTGTAAATAAAGAAGACTTTTTCTTCAACCAAGAATATTCAATTCTCGGAAAAAAAAATTATTATTAGTTTAGATTTGATTGTATTTCTTAGAGATAATATAATTTAAATTCAAGATTTAAAATTTTTCTTCACTAAAAAAAAATTTTAAAAAAGTTATTTCACAAATATCAAATCTTTTTGAAATAATTTTATTAATAGAAAAAATATTTGTCGTGAGAAAATTTTTCTGTATTCTTCCCTAAAGTTTAATTATTTAATGCATTTATTTTTTGTATGAAATAAACACATGGACTTAACTTTGTGATAAATAAAGAAAAAAATTAATTAATTAAAAAGTATAGAGCCTTTTATACATGAAGTGCTATTATAAATACGAAACAGCTAACAGAAAGTAATTTTTAAAATGGACTTTTTGTTATAATCCCGTGTCCAGTGAACTGTTGTAGGTATTTCGTCTTTTATATTCCTATCTTCGTAGTCTCAAGTGATCCATTTGACCCGTGCAATATTCTCGGGCGTGGTCGCAATTTCAACTTGAATCCTTTGATCCCCAGCGAATAATAAAAAAAGAATATATGAAATGAAATAAAAAAATACAAGACGCTACCGGAAGATAAAAAACAAAATAAACAAGTTTATAAAAGAAATAGTATAAGTAGTATTATCTATAGACGCAGTAAAAGTATAACAAGCCGTGTAGGATCAAAAAGTATGAGCGGAAAAAATATAAAAAATAACGCTACAAAGTACAAGTAAGAACTTTAAATGTAGGTAAAGTGCTTCTATTTATCTTGTTCATGCTAAGAATTTC